CTTTTCTGAACTATTTTTGTCGAGTCTATTATTCTTTGCTATATGTGGCAACTGAAGTCTCTATACCATTAGCACCATGGTCAGCTAGTGACTCAAAAGATTTCCTTAACTACCTTGAATAAATATGCCTACAGAAATAGAAAAGTCTTCAGTTCTTTGCAGATGGGTTCTTTGTATGTATCAGGGCATGTCTTCATCACTCAGCCAGGCAGTTTACAACTCTGCCTTACCCTTCACTTCCTGATTGTGCAATCTGAACTTAAACAAGGAGTGAAAGATCAGGTGAAGCCTTGCAAGAATGAGCCTAACCCTGGGCATATGCATGTGTTTTTGGATTCTCAGGAATATCTGGGAACTTTCAAAGCCTTTATACCTGAATATTTCAGTTACTCTGTTGTTTGTCCCAACTGTTATTCCTTGCCAAGACAGAGGTTAATATATCTGCTTTTAAATGTTGACAATTACTGCCCCCCACCAGTTAGTTTTCTGAACTCTGAAATTGTTCCAAGCCAGGAGAAATAAAGGCAAGCCCTTCAAGTGTGTCCTTCAGTGAGCCAACAAACATGTTGAAATACACAGCCAAAATTTTTGAGAATAAGGTTTATTCTGTTGTAAGAAGCTTTACCAGGAATGTGGACTGTGTCTTCAAGGCCCCCACTGAACTATATAGTGGGTGATTCATTGGTTTTGTTTTTTAATTGATTAAGCCTTCTCCTGGTTGCTATAAAGTTTTTATTAGTTTCTAGATTTCTGGTAAAGTTGATTTTGACATTATTGCTACTTAAATCTCCTCTTTAGTGGAAGGATGGACTTTTGGCATTCCTACCCTGCCATTTCCACAGGAAGGATTCCTTTTAAGACAGAAACTACTCACTATAAAGAAACTATTGATAGATTTAACTAAATTAAAATACTATATTCATCAAAAGACATGATAGGCCTTAGAGTAGGAATAGATATTTACACCATATAAAACTGATGAATGACTAGTTATTCAGGATAAATACAGAAATATAATTTTTAATTTAATAAAAAAGAGTAATACAATAAGGGAAAATTGGGCAAAAGACTTGAACAGGGACTTTAGAAAAGAGAACATCTAAATGACTGATAAACATGAAAAGGAGCTTACTCTCACTAACAGATAGTGTAAGGAAAATTAAAACCACCAGAAGATATTATTACTACCTACCAGATTTGACTAAAATTAATAGTATTGACATTAGGTAGAAGTAAATTGTGCAGTAAGAGCAACTGTTACCATTCTCTTTTGATAGACATATAAATTGGCTTAACCAATTTAGACATTTGTAAAAGAAGGTATTCAGCTTTGACTGGTGTGGCTCAGTAGATTGGGTGTCATCCCACAAACTGAAAGTTCATCAGTTAGAGTCCAAGTTCAGGCACATGCCTGGGTAGCAGGCCAGGTCCCAGGTTGGGGGCATGTGAGAGGCAACCAATTGATGTTTCTCTTGCACATTGGTGCTTCTCTTCCTCTCTTCTTTCCTCCCCCTCTCTCTAAAAAATAAAATATTTTTAAAAGAAGGTATTCATACCCTATAATAGTAATTCTCTTCCTGGGTATTTATATCCTAGAATTAATGCATGTGGGAATTATGGTACATGAACAAGAATGTTCATAGTAGCATTGTTCATAATGTCTCCAAAATGAAAATAATACAAATATCCATGAGCAAAGTTATCCATATTTATTGCCTCCTTTTTCTTACATCCACCTTTTTCCTTTATGTCTTATAACCAAGATTTATCTTCATGAAATAAGCTCTCTCTCAGGCAATTAATGACTACCCCCATCTTATTTAGTGTTTTCTTTTTATCTTGGTATATTCTTGCAATATGATCTTTGTCTTTATGATCTTATCTATCTATATATCTTCCCCAACCATATCTGTGCAAATAATTTTTAAGTATCTCTAGCATAAGTTTCTTTTCTGAGATGGGTTGAAAATTTATTTCCAGGCTTCATAATGAAATTGCAAATTTATGGTTGCCAAAATTGAAAGGACCCACAAGGATGACTGATAATTCCTTTGGCAAATTAATAGCTGTCTTCCATTCTCATTCATCTCAAAGCATTAATCCAAATTTTTGTGACTAGTCTTCTAAAAAGTTATCTTTCCCACCTTTACTTGCCTGTTTTCTCAACAATAGATCTTTACTCCAACTACTGAATATCTCACTTTGTTTCCAAAAATTACCTTGTTTTATTATACTTACTTGCTTCCTTATTTTTACTTTTTCCTTTACTGGTAACTTCTTTAATTGATAGAACTAATGGCTTCTTTTCAACTATCATCCTACTCCTATTTCTCCAATATTTATAGATTTTAACATCTTGAAAGTTTATTCTTTTTTTCCTTCCCTTATAGCTACTCTCTTGATTTTCCTCTTTTGTCTCTAACAGTTTCTTAAAGAGAAGAAGACAACAGTATGAAAGTTAACAGGAGAAAGGGCTTGGGGGAAGATAAAGAGTGTAAAGGGGTTCAGATATACATGTGGTGACAGGAGACTAGACTTTGGGTGGTGGGCACACAGTGCAGTTGACAGATGAATGTTACAGAATTGTGCGCTTGAGGCTTACATACTGTTGTTAACCAGTATCACCCCCCGAAACTTAATTTTTAAAAAAGAGAGGAAGATGAATAACTTATTTTTCAAACTCAAATACTTTTGAAAGTGTAAAAATGTGCTATATAATAATTGAGCCAGGATAGTAGATATAAATTCAGATTATTCAAGGAAAAATAGGATTATGTTCATCCTATTTAGATGTTTTCCCCAATTCTTTTTCTTCTATAGCCCCTTAATACGGATATCACCTAGAATTTTCAACCATTATCTTCATTCTTTTACATAGCCTCTTTGGGTCATCTGAAACATTTGCATGACTGCGGCGACCACCTCCATTGATAATTTCCAGAGTATATATCCAGTCCCTAACTCCTTCGTAAGCTGCAGTCTCATGTTTCTAATAGCTCATTGGGTGTCTTCAGACTATTAACTCAAAAGGATATACCCCAAAATTTAAACCTATCTTTCCTCTCAAATATCGTAGTGTTTTGTTTACATTCATACACAGAGAGCGAAAGAGATGTGTAGTATATGTATGTGTATGTGAATCTGGAAATACATATATCACATATGCATACAAACCTTGTGTAGGCATTTTATTAGGTACTGGACACACAATAGTACCTAAAACACAGTTGCATCATTATAATAGTGCATTCTAGAAAGTGAGCTAGACATTGATCCATCTGCCACACATACACTGTAGTATAAGTGTGATAATTGCTATGAAGTAGAGGGACATGATGTCATGTGAAATATAATAGAGGCATTTGATCTTCTTTCTAATCATGGCCTTTTAGGCATAAGTGGCAACATATAGCTCTTCTAAATCAGACTACCTTAATTACTTTAGAATGTTTATCACAATTTGGTACTCAAAATACTGGCAGATGGAGCCATTTTTCTTTTCAGAATTTGTATTGCTTTTCATCCTAATTATGGGGATATTTTTCATAAATTATGTAAACTGTCAAGCCTTGAAATAGTGGCAGTACCATTGGCATTGAGGATGTTGGTACAGAAAGTAAATGAAAGAGCTTCTTTGGAAATAGGACAATATTAAGTCCTTTGTGAGAAAGACAGGGTACATAAAACCAGGAGCACCTTTCTAATCACAAAGTCTGGCTGTTGCTTCCTTTTTACTTAGTGAGTGATATTTGAATGTTAATTACATGTTTATTTTATCAAATGTTTTACTCCTCTTGTGCACGAAACATGAAAGTGTTCAAGTTCTCGCTTTGAGATTAGAAGACCCACACCATCAGTACTAGCCCAGAACGTGAACTAAATCATGCATAGCCCCAAATAATAAATTTTATAGTTGACATAAATATTAATGACTTGAAAAATAAATAATTCACATGATTTGTCTTCTGTTTGTATATTTTTAGAATAGTGATACTCAATTACATCAGTCTTTATAGTGTTGATAGGTATAGTAGTAACAATAATAGCCAACATTTATTAAGTATTTACTATTTGGAAATGCTAGATAATTTACATACATTATCATATGTGACCCTCAGCGGTCATCCGTTGAGGTAGATTCTATCATTATCTTCATTTTTTAGATAAAGGAAATGGCAATTGGAAAAGTATATTCATCACTGTTCCAGTAGAAGTCATAGCATACTTAAATGGATAATTAAGAAGAGCTTAATAAAGGACTATGGTATTTACAAAGGTCTGGGCAGATTTTAGGGACAGCAACCTGATGTAATGCAGTGCCCTGAGACTAGTAATAGTGGAAGAAACCATTGGTACTCCTAGTCTTAGTGGGGCAAAGGGAAAAGAGGCTGTTAGAATCTAGAAAAGAGTTGTAAGTATGTGACATCTGACACGAGCTGTGATCCTAGCCAACTTATGATGACCTGGTAGAGAAGAAACCAGGGAAATAAATATCAGACCTTACTTTCATCCAACCCTTCAGTTTCTTGACAGTGCCTCCCTTTAGCTGAACCCAACTGGAAGGCAGAGAGCTCAAGTTAGCTTGTTGATTCTATCTATGCAGGTCAGCTTGGAGCAGAGAGGCTGAAGGATAGAAATGAATCTGAAAAGAAATGGAAAATATCTAGGAAACACATAACTATTAAATGAAAGCCAGTATATGCATACCAACTACTTTACTCCTAAACACATTTACATTAAACCACAATTACATTGTGGTTGGAATTTGTCATTAAAAAGTTTAATAAAATATTGTTTGGCCAGGGAAAATATTTTAAACCTGAAGGCTTCTATTCTAGCCCAAATCATTGAATGCATTCTAACAGTACATGAGACAAAATACATGAGCACTGTACAGCAAAAAATACCATGCTCCCCACAAAAATATTCGGTGCAGGTATTGAGTTTACATACTATTGGTAATTTCAGAATATTAAGCCATGCTTATCCCCCTTGTTCAGATTCCAGAATCCATTATTTCTCGTGGCGTTCAGGTGCTCCCACGAGATACAGCTTCCCTCAGCACTACTCCTTCGGAATCGCCTCGTGCTCAGGCCACATCTCGCCTTTCTACAGCTTCCTGCCCAACACCAAAAGTAAGTACAGTTCCTTAGCACCATAGTCTACTATGTGAATCTGGAAAAACTAACCAATATTTTCCTCTGCTTGTCAAGGTCGGATTGCATGAATGATAGTACAGTGAAAGATTAATGGACTGTAAAATAGTTACCATCCATTGTTTCACAAATTGTCATATTAGGCCAACATTAGAACAATGAAAGTTGCATAAAAATGTCTACTCCTACATCATCACAGCTACAGGTATCACTCTCTGTAGATACTGTTTCTTTGTTGTAGACTCGTTATCTTCTTAGCATACTCAGCAGTATAGATGTGGAATTACATGCTTACACAGAAGATTAATGCATTTCTGGCCAATAAATAATAAGATTAACAAGGTAAAATACTGTCACCGATGGAATTTTTTTAACTTATCCAGGCTGGGGTAGCTCCCTGCTCTAGTATCATTCCGAATTTGTTCAAACATATTCAACTTGGAATGTCGCTGCCTAATATTTGGAAACAAATCTAAATTAATTAGAAAGAAAGTTTTAATGCCAACCTTTGGGGGAAGGAAGAAGTATCTTAGTATTTGTTTTTTGTCATTTTCCCAAGTACTGAATTATATATGGGGAAAATAAGGATTAGACATTCGCTGCCTATTTTCGTGTATGTGATAAATTAAGTAAAAAACTTAATTATAGCTGTTACTGCTATCTCTTGGAATGTCTCTGCCCTGGTTAAGATAGTCATTTGTGCCATTAAGTTTTCTATGGGGTGTCAAAAGGCTAACAGTAAAATTTCTTTTTTTACTTAATAAGATATGGTGTTAGATATCGGGCTGTACACTAAATTTATTCTAGAGACCTTCAGGTAATTTTTCAAATGGTGACTTTTTTCTCTGTCATCAAATTTAATGACTTACATAGCTATCTTCCTCAATTTGAACTTTTCTGAATGTATCAGTGTTATAACTGGATTTAACTAGAAGTAACATCAAGCAGTGCTTTTACCGTCTCATGTGGTACAGCCTTCACAGCAAAGTCTTCAGAGCATTAGTGTTGTATATCATTGTCTTTAGACTTATACCAAAAATTACTGGTATTTATTATAGTTTTAAAAAATTGAAGTTTTATATCTTTAGTGAAGAAAATTTGTAAAAACGTTCCAGACATAAAATGTATGTCAGTACCATTCAGATGCCAGTCAGCTACACCCTCAACTGAATGAAAACACTGAGTTCTCAAGACAAATTGGATAGATGACTCTCATTCATGTCTTCTAAATTGCTAAAACAAAATAATTTATTGACTGCATTAAATTTAATTGTACAAGCTGTACTCATTTATCAAGTCTGGGAAATAATTAAAGCTGAAAGGTCAGTATTAATGGTTAGCTATTCACCAAATATTAAGACCTAAATCTTGGGAATACAGAATTATCCAAGACAAAGTATTTTTCCCCTTAACAGTATCCTGTGAACATGAATATTTTAAGCATAATTTAATTATACTTAGTACTTGGGCCTTTTTAATAAAACTTTGTAATTACATTTTAATTACAAAGGGAATATTAAATCCACTTTTAAAAATGACTTGGTATTTCCAAATTTACTTAAGTGAAACTCCCCCCCAAAAAATCTTGATATTTATCGCAAAGCTTTAGGAGAGCAGGTAGCTTCTCTTGACATTTTTTTCTTTAGTTAGCACTTAGATGTTCAAACTGACAATAAATTAAAATAAAGCATAGTATTTAAATATCTTTTTTCCTAAGAATTTTTTCATATTTTTAACTAGGAATAAGAATCTGTTCTTTTTAGGTAACTTTTTACCAGCACCGGAAGGTGTACCTCAAAGATAAAATTATTGCTTTGTTGTAATTTTAAAATTAAACTGTTAAGGCTGAATCAGAATACTAGTATAATAAAAAAACTAGCTTAAATATTGATATTTTTACTTGTTTTTTTATTGTTTTATTGTTGCTCAATTACAGCTGTCCCAGTTTTCCCCCCACTGCTCTCCTTGCCTTTTCACCCCACTACTCTTGCTCCCTCAGTCACTCTCGAGCCTGTTGTCTATCTCCATGGGTCCTTTATACATGTTTATTGACTAGACCCTTCCCCTTCTTTCCCCCATTATCTTTCTCCTGCCTCCCATCGGGTCACTGTCAGCTTGTTTCTTATTTCCATGTCTTTGGTTCTATTTTGCTCATTTGTTTGTTTTGTTCATTAGGTTCCACTTATAGGTGAGATCATATGGTATTTGTCTTTGGCCACCTGGCTTATTTCACTTACCATAATATTGACTTTTCAAAGAACTAACAAAAGTCAAATTTATCTTTTTATTAAATGTCTCAAATTATAAGACTTCCTGATTGAATCTAAATTAGATGCTCTTGATATGTGCTTTTATGTCAGTGACATAATTTCTGCTGCCTTCATGGAGTTTACAGTTTAGTTGATGGTATATTAAAATAAATAGGTAGATAAACATAAATAATTCTATTAATTATAATTTCACAATAACTTAATAATTATACATTGAAATTCATGCAAGAAGAAATGAAAAAGTCGTAGTGATAGAAAATAATAGGAGGGAACTGAACACTAGCTAGAGACAAACTGTGTAACCAGGGACAGATGGAAGAAGCCACATCACCACAGTGGGCCTGGTAGGGAGTGTGTAAGAGGTGTGCGAGGGCAGTCTAGGCTCCCATGGGTGGCAGCTGAAGTGTAAAAGAGATATTTTGGCAGCTAGAGCTTTCCCCCTAAACGTGTGCGGTCTAATCTCCAAGCTGGTCTCCCCAGCCTACAGCACCAGAGCTGGGAAAGGAACTCAAATAATATATAGTTGTGAAAACCAGTGAGGTTTCTGTCCACCAGGGAGAGATGGCTAGAGACACAGAGAGCCTTGTAAACAGCCAATGCAAAAAATTTCATGTGTAGCCATTTACCCTGGGCTCTGGAAGAGGGAGGGCAGAGTAGACTAGAGATGCTAAGGAGAGTCTGGGGTTGGTGGCTCTAGGGAGAGAACCAAAGAAACAGCCACCAAGATACCAGACTCATCCCCCATACTACAGGAATAATTTTTCTAAGACAGAGCACTCCCCTCCAAATGGCATCAGCCTGAAGGGATGAAATAGCCCTGACCTCAGGATGCTCTGCCCAACCCTGTGGAGTTTAATCGAGGATGCTGAGTATAGCTTAAAGCTATATCACTGATTAGTTAACAACTAAGGTGGATCTTGGGGGGCTTTGAGACTTCAGCTGACACTCCCCCTGGCTTGGTGCTGGTTGAAGCCAGCCTTGGTGTGCAGCCTGGTTCTTTTGCATACACCCATGCCTAGCAGAGGAAACCACAGCTCTGGATCGCCGATAGCTCCAAACAGATTGACCAGGGCCAGTCACAAGCAGCACCTGACAAAGGCCTACCCCAGAATCTTTGCAGATCTACCTAATACATAGAAACAAATATAAAGAAGGAGCCAAAATGGGTAGATAATGAGACAGATCCCAAATGAAAGGACAAAAGAATTCTCCAGAAGAAGAACTAGATGAAATGTAGGCAAGCAATTTGTCAGATAGAGAATTTAGAGTAATGATTACAAGGATACTCAACAGCATGAAAAAAGACATAGGAACAATAAACAAGGATCAGTCAGAGATAAAGAATGCAATATTTGAAATAAATAATACACTGAAAGGAATAAACCATACATTAGATGATAAAGAGGATTGAATCAATCATTTGGTAGACAAAGTAGGAAAAAAAAAACCCAAGCAGAACAGCAAAAAGAAAAAAGAATTTTTTTTAAATGAGGAGAACTTAAGAAACATTTTGGTCAATATGAAACATAATAGCATCCACATCATGGGAATACCAGAAGGAGAAGAGAGTGAGCAAGAGGTCAAGAACCTATGTGAAGAAATAATGACCAAAAACTTCCCTAATTAACACAAGTCTGGGAAGCTGAGTCCCAAACAAGTTGGACCCCAAGAGGTCTATACAGAGACATATCATAATTAAATTGACAAAGCTTAAAGACAAGGAAAAAAATCCTAATGCCATAAGAGAAAACAAAGTAGTTATATACAAAAGACCATCAATTAGACTGTCATGTTATTTCTTAACAGAAACATTTTAGGCCAGAAGGCAGTGGTGTGAAATATTCTAGGTGATGAAGAGCAAACACCTACAACCAAGGCTACTTTACCCAGCAAGGCTATCATTTAAAATCAAAGGAGAAATAAGGGGTTTCCCAAGCAAGAAAGATCTAAAGGAGTTTGTTAACACCAAACCAGTACTGCAACAAATGTTAAAGGACTTGCTAGTAGGAGGGGAAGGAGAACAGGAAAATAGTCTATCAATAAAATAGCACTAAACATCTGTCAATAATCACCTTAAATGTAAATGGCTTAAATGCTTCAACTGAAACACATAGGGCAGGTGAAAGGATAAGAAAACACGACCCACCCTGGCTGGTGCGGCCCAGTAGTTGACTGCTGACCTATGTGAATCAAAGGGTCACCACTTCAATTCCCAGTCAAGGCACATGCCTGGCTTACAGGCAAGGTCCCCAGTAGGGGGCATGCAAGAGGCAACTACACATTGATGTTTCTTTCCCTCTCTTCCTCCCTTTCTACCCTTGTCTAAAATAAATAAATAAAATCTTTAAAAATAAAAGAAAACAATATCCTTATATAGGAGTTCTGGCCAGATGGACACTTAGGTAGAAACAGTTTGCCTCCTCACACAGCCAAAAGAAGGAAACTACCAATTTAAAAACAAAAAGCAGAATTGCCAGGAAATTCAACTGTATGGAAGTCCAACAACCAAGGAGTTAAAGAAGAAACATTCACCCAAAATGTTTCTGGCCAGAAACTGATAGGAGGGGTGAGACAGGCAGCCGGGTCAGAGAAGACTCATGGCAAGGCATCAGCTGGCAGACCAGGCAGTCTCATATTTGCGTGCAGATAAACTAAGAGGAACAACTGGGGAACAATACAGACCATACAACACAGGGTTCTAGGACCAGT